GAGTGCTCTCATACTTGTTTGATTCATCGAGGAGGCTCTCTGGAGGAGCTCTAACCGAGGAGACACTGATGCATCCTCCACGGCTCCTCCACGGATGCATGGAGGCGTGACGCACGGCCGGACTAATCTCAGCCAATGACGGCTCTGCATGCATCCCCTGGATATTATTTTAGTAACTGCTTCATCGCGACATTACTTTCTGTATTTGTATGCTGTAGTTTAGTAGATATCTACAAACAAAGAGTCGACATTTTTCTAAGACCATTTAGTGATTCACATAATAAAATACACGGCTGTAGCCTGATTATGCTTTAGGAGCAGTAGGTGTGTGTGGGGTACAGTGTGTAGGTGTGTGTTGTACAGTGCGCAGATGCGGCGGACAGCGGGTGTTTGTTACTTTCAATACTTGTACAACTTTTGGCCCGTAATTTCAATTCCCCATTTCAGCGACCAGAGAGGGGGGGGGATATATCCAGTCTCTGATTGTGTTACGTTATTATGAGAGTGCTCTCATACTTGTTTAATTCTGAAATTCTAGCCTATATATTTATATAAATATATGTGTGTGTGTGTGTGTGTGTGTGTGTGTGTGTGTGTGTGTGTGTGTGTGTGTGTGTGTCCGCATCTGTAGCCTGTTATTGTCTCATTATACCGCACTGTCAATGAATTAAAAGAAAATATATAAGTCGTCATGAACACATCTGTCCATCAGAGTGCTGCTGTGCCTCTCCTGTCATCATTAATGGACGTCTCTTTAAAATGACCGCTCAGAGGAGAGGAGTTCTCATTTCTCTAACCGCCTGCTGCTTCCACTCCTCTCTCCTCTGTTCCCCTCCTCAGTCCTCTGCTCGCATCTCCTGTGGGCGGCACCAAGTCTTGAGGAGAGGAGTCGAGGATAGGAGTCGAGGAGGGGAAATTTGAGTATTGAGAAACCTCTATTGTAAGATAGGCTAAGGGGCAGGACATCTCTTAGCTGTTGACCAATACCAACAGAGCTGGCCAGCTAACCAATCAGAGCAGACTGGGCTCTGGTTTCAGACAGAGGGTAAAAAGAGGTGCTGCAGCACAGGCAGTATGAGAAAAATAAAGAGCTTGTTGAACATTAAAGCATGGAGACATGGATTCACAAAATACTAATATGAACCTGAAAATTAGAATAATGGAGCCCCTTGAAGCTTGTTTTAACAACAGAGGTTTAGGACTCATTCCTGCATTCCTTGCTATGTGTCAATAACATATGAATATATTTGATTGAGGCCTAAGGGTCTTGGCGATTCATGTATTCTTTCACAGTCAGGAAGTACTGTAGACCATAATTTAGAGCTGGATTAAATCAGTTTAACCAGGATGTAGTTAATGAGGGCTCAGTGAACTTAGTTCCTGAACTGCCAGCATAGTAACAAAGTGCAGCACCACAGCTGAGGGGGGACAGAATGAGGCAGGGAACAGGAGAGCTGTAGTGTCCGTCTCACCTCGTCTCTGTACAGCGGGCTGGTGTAGTACATGATGTCCATGGCGCTACTGTTCAGCATGTCTCTGAGGCCCCGCACTTTGTCTGGGGTGATGGAGTCCACCCTGTCTGCAGGGAGAAGACAAATACATCAAACCCAACTGGAGGACAATCACAAAGACCACATGTGTAATACTGTTTCATATTCTATTGAAAACAATGTTATTCTTAGTGTTTAAAAACATACATTTTAATGTTTTACCAATTCAGAAATACATGTTGTTCTGTCCAACCTTTTAGTCTAAGTCATGATAACTACTGACTATGACATCTGGAATTGACATTTAATAGCTACATATTTGAATCCGTATAACAGTCAGAATGTTGGCTTTTTCAACAGATATCACAAAGAAACAACATTTCTTTGAAATTGGATATTTGTGATCCCTAGAGGATACATATTTGTATGTTTTTTGGTGATGTACTAACCCAGTTAGGGATATCCAAAGGCAACAAAACAACCTAAATATATAACAATCTAACCATAGATTTGTTTGATCATGCCCCTAAAAGGATAAGCCCCCTTTGATATTTAATAATCCAAATTACCTGTTTCAAATTCCAATCAGGTCAATACGACTTTGTATCCCCACTGTTGGGGGAATGTCTTGTGCGTTCCCTTTCACACTGCATAATTAAATATTTATAAATTCCCTTGAGTTCACTTTAGTCAGATTGTTTCCTCTCAGCTTTCATGGCTTCTCCCTGTTTATGCCCAGCCATCAGCAATAACCATTCTCTGTGTGTTTCCTGACATCAAATAGAGTGTGTAAAACAAATGATTTGATATGCCATATTGACATTTTTACTATGCCACATGGTCTATTGGCATTGGTAGTAATAATTGAATAGTGAATAAGTCTCAGTTCTGAATTCAATAGTGTAACTATTGAATTTAGACAAAGTCTTATATGTTTGTCTTATGTGTAACATTGCTGCCTTCTTGGCCAGGTCAGCATTGAAAATGAGATTGTATGTCAATGCTTTTATCTGGTTAAATAAAGGTTAAATAAATAAAAGTAACTAGGCTTTTTCCTGTTATTTTAAACATGTAAGGCGGAGCAAACTCTGAACCAGACTGTTTTTGTATTGGATGTGGTGAGTCGAGGTGCAGGGTACCTCCATCCAGAGCCAGCTTTGACCTCCACTCCACAGGAAGGAACTCTACATGCTCTGTGGTGCGATCTGAGAAGTGCTTCTCCTCCATCTTCCTGGCAGCGTCTCTCATCCTGCACGCCAAGACAAAACAGTCACTTCAAGATTCATTCTGAATCCCTTTTCAATTATCTGTGCTTCCAATGTGAATGTGTTTGATCTCTCACATGCTGGTGTTCCTGATGATACGACCCTGGTCCATTTTCTGGCCAATGCCATGCACCACAAAGACGATGTGGGTGGTTTCGGGTGGGGTGTCCTCAGGGGCCGCCTCTTCCACGTATCCCCGATGGAGACGTGTCCCGCTGCTGGAGGCTGAAGACATAAGAGGGCACATTATTAACTGAAGTGATGTTTCTCCACAGCAATGTGCCTGCGTTTGATTTGGGTTGATGTCTAGCACCTCTTTAGGGAACATAAACCCAGTCCACAGTCCATACTCGGCCCCTGCAGGGGTCTGAAGCCAGGTCCCCAGGGTCTGAGCTACAGCCTATATCTAAATCAGTTCTGTAACCTACAAATTGTAGTCACGCTTTAATTAATGTGTTCATTGGTTTTTAAGGGTCAGTTCGCCTAAGTTACAAACATTGTCTCTCTTGATGATGTTAATGCGCGATAAAATAATTGTTGCGTTTAATGAATTAATGCGTAAACTTGCCTAATTTTTTGTATATGGATTTTGAATTACATTTATACAAAACGAAACAGTATTTGTGTGTGGATTGAAGATTACTTTTGTAGATAGACATTTATTTATAAATCCAGAATTACATTTGTAAATCCTTCTGTGAGCAATTATTTATTTTGACACTAATCTGACCCCATATAGGACACACCGCTCACACACTTACCTTTAGAGAAGCCCAGTTTCTGTGTGACACTGCGAGCGATCTTGGAGGTGGTGGCGTCGCTGTACAGATACACCTCCTCCACGCTGTGCCAGTCCACGTGACTCCGGCTCAGTTTCCGGCTGTGGATGGCTGGGTGACAGTCACAGTAATTAACAGCAAATGACACACTTTATCCAGCATAATTAATTTACCGTTCCCCATGTGGGTGTGTAGAGTGTGTGTGTGGGTATGTGTGACAATCAGGCTGGAGGAATAACGGAGTACATGTAACGAGGATTCATAATCAGGATACAAAAATAAGTATTCGAAAACATTAACATTAAAAAAATAAGTAATCAGATTACTATTATATATTAAAAAATTAAATAGATTAGTAGCAGGAAACTAGTACTCCAAATGTTTTCATATCAAATATCTTTCTTTTCTATATAAAATACTCAGATTACTGATTACATTTATGGACAAGTAATAGTTTTTGTAATGGATTACATTTTTAAAGTAACCCTCCCAACCCATCAATTTACAAACAGACCTCACACACCCTTGTCTTCTCTTCTCTTATTGGTAAAGCTGGAATAACATCAACTGACTGGTTTTGTGTCCTAGTTCTGAATCCCGACCATTTTCCCAACACCTGCAGCTTCTGTGCACATTTATCTCCACACACACACACACACACACACACACACACACACACACACACACACACACACACACACACACACACACACACACACACACACACACACACACAACACACACACACACACACACACACACACACACACACACACACACACACACACACACACACACACACACACACACACACACACACACACACACACACACACACACACACCTATCTACCTGTCACACACACACATATATTTCTACGTCTTCCTCACCATCCTTGCTGTCCACTGTGGTGTCCACCACCTCCATCTCGTAGGTGTCCCTCATCTGTTGCCCTCGGAAACGGGCCAGGTACTCGATCTCGATGGGGTCACTCTCGTCCTCCTCCAGGGGAAGCCACGTCCCGTCGATGAACCACTGCCCCCTCATCACAGGGATGCGGTCTTGCTCTGAGGGACACCACATCATGTTGACTTCACTGGTTGTTTTAGCCTATAGGCTTGCTCTAATTCTATATCTTTATCAAAGTACAGAAAACAGATACTTTATGGGATTAAAGAGATGTTAAATGAATGAGACACAGATACGACATGGGGTATAGTTAGGGTTAGGGAAAGGGAAAATCAGTGAATTATTATCTTTGGCATTGAAAAACTGTAAAAGACAATAAATCAAGGAGAACGGTATGGAAAAACTGAAACGTTGACTTTAATGAAATGTCTCTTTGTCAACAGATTTCACATAACTGTATTAGGTTAGTTTAAACAATAATATTAGGTAGTTAAGTTATTAAATACAATATTTGGTTCAACTTAATATTATTGCTTTCAACTTACCTAATACAGTTATGTGAAATCTGTGGACCTAATACATTTAATTAAACTCAACGTTTCAGTTTTTTAAGTGCACTGGGAGGATACTGTAACTTTAGACTGTTCCACTGTCACAACAACTGTTACTTTCAATGGTATCAGTAGTTTGACTGTTTAAATAGTAACAGTAGCAGCAGAAACAAGAAAGTTTGGCTGTGTGCCAGAAAACACAAAATGTTCTTATTTCCGATAGATAAATAGTGAACAAGAGTTGCAATCATATTTGTATTTTAAGTTTAGGACTGATATTTTTATAAATTCAGCAAAAAAAGTAATCGCAATACCTAATCAATGTAATCTTTAAGTCGTTGAAGCGGAAGCGTTTCAAAAAATAAATGGCTGCAGATTGTCTAATGTAAGAAATGTTCTGTGTTTTTTATCATTATAAAGAATATGGCCTATTAGCACATTTAACTGATACTAACAAGTAACTGGTGAATTGACTCATTGTCTTATTTTAACAATTATGAATAGAGGTTTTAGTCATGGCAGAAATAGTGGATGAAATCGTTTTAATAGATTTTATTTAACAGTTACAGTATTTACCAGTTGTACTAAAAGCACATGCGCATTACCCTGCAGTAAATAAAGTAATTAAAATTAGTTCCACCTTCATTCACCCAGCTTTATAAACGAATGCATTCATTATAATCAAAACATACATGGGCCAATCTGCATAATGAGTAGGCTACTTTTACTTTTTGTTCTTTACAGTATATTAAGAATGGCAATACTTTTATACTTTACTTGAATAACAAAACATGATTTTCCTAGTAAAAGAGTATTCCCTCTGGTACTTCTACTTTTACTGAAGTACAAGACCTGAGTATTCCTCCACCTCTGACAGCAGCCTACAGTACAGACTGTGCAGTACAGACAGTAGGGGAGACCGGGTACAGTTGAAACACGGGTTGGTTGCAACACCCTCAATATCTCCAATCATAAACAAGCTAGAGTGATGACACTCACTCTGCACATGCGCAGCTAGATGGTAAGATCGCCGAAATAAAAAGGAGCCACGTTTGAATATCTCACGTAAGTTATCAGCAAAAGTGTGTTTCTGAGGTCAAATATTAACTAAAATGATATGATGTATTTTTTGGATACTGTCTTGAGTTCAAAATGTCTAGGAATCCAAAATAGTATTATTAGAATCACTGTTTTGTAAGCTACAAATATAGCTAGCTAAATATGGGTCAAGCTAGCAATCAGGCAGGTTCACAGGGGGTGAAGCAAGACTGGCTGTTCTGGGACGGTTGTAACGGGACGGTAGTAACATGGCACATTTACAATGATGGCTCATTTGCTTGAATGATCAATTGTTCATTCAAGCATTGATTGGTGTGCATTGTCCCTGTAAAAATAAACAGAATTAAATACTGTACAGTAGGCATAAAGTGTGTGTGTGTGTGTGTGTGTGTGTGTGTTTACAGTATGCCAAGTATCAGACAGAGGAAGACCGACAGGGGAGTGCCACTTGCTCTGCTGCAGGTGGCCTCAGGTGAAGTTCAGGAGGGCAAATCATTCAGGGAAGTGGCAAAGTCCCTGGATATATGCCATGTCACCCTGTACCGGTTCCATAAGAAGAGGCTGAGGTTGGAGAGTCAGGGATCACACACACCCCCAAGAGTAGGCTACTGGACTCCAAAGAAGGTGTTCTCAACAGAGCAGGAGATGCTATTGAGAGACTACCTGATGCAAGCAGCTGATCTATATTATGGTCTCAGCTCA